GGTTCAGCATCCCGCGGGGAACTCATGCTGGCTCTTGAAGTTAAAACCAGCCCTAACAAAGAGCTGTTTATTAAAGCGAGCTATATGCCAGGCATCTATTTCCTTTTGCCTCCCTCCCTCTCGGCATGGGGCACCTTAGAGCTGCAGACACAGACCGGCTCACCCCCACCGGCACCCTATGACCCCCCCCAAACTGCACCAAGGGATGCAGAGGACAGCATGCTGCTTCGGCTGGCTTTTATTTCATCTTTGTAAACCCTCAGTAGCTATTTGGAAACCAGAATAATTTCACTCCTACACAGTGTGGCTGGCGGGAGGGGGAAGAAATCCCTTGGGCCAGGTGGGCTGGTAGCCCAGCAGCTCTGCTCGCTTGCCTGGAGCAGCCACGTGCCACCCAGACCAGACCCGGTGTGCTTTCTCCCCCATGAGCTCTGCAAATCTCTGAGCTCTAAAACTGGCTTGGCTTTGCTCAGCCCTTGCTCTTTTCTTTGGTTTTAAGTCAATTCCGTAGGAAACCTATAATAATGATGCCCGTCTCCTGCATGAGTCGGTCCCGTGGTAGCAATCGGTTTGCAGGCAGGAGTCCCACCAGTGTTCCTGGCCCCAGCAGAACTCACAAGACAGCTGTTTTCCTCTTATTTTGTAATGTGGAAATGGGACAGGGTTCTAGCTCCAGCAGGATGAAACATGAGTTATGGCATCTCTCCCAGGGCTAACAAAGTGATTACAGCCCTGCTCATAGTGCTGTGTTACCATTTAGATATAGGAGAGCATGCCTGAGCTAAGGACTTCTTGCACGGCCTAAAAAACCCTACTGCATCTGCATAAATGAGGGGGAAAAAAAATAAAATCAGATATCTCGGGGGACCTTTGGTGCTGCAGAGCTCCTGCATGAGCATCCCCCTGCAGCCAGGGCAGGCTGTGTGTAGCACGTTGGGTCCTGGGTGGCACAGCAGCGTGGGGGCCAGTGCAATGTCCCCCCTCGCTGAGTGGCTGCCTGGTCCCTGCAGAGCTGCCTCAGCCGGAAGCTCCTGGCCGCCATCCGGCAGATGCAGCAGCTGCTGAAGGGGCAGGAGACGCGCTTCGCTGAGGGCCTCCGCCTCATGAAAAGCCGGCTGAGCACCCTGCATGCCTCCCTGGCCAAAGCCGCCCCTGAGCTGCCAGCCGGTAAGTCCTCCCAGGGTCCCCGCCGGTCAGTGTCAGAGGACACTGGTGTGGGCAGGTCGGGATGCTCGGGGCTGTGATGGTTGGAGGTTTGGGCATCTCCACAGATGGAGATACCTGTATCCATGTTGGCAATTTGTGCTTGTGAATTTGAGCACTTCTCCAGCCTGGTAAGACATGGGGAGGCTCAAAAGCCCTTAGCTGCAAAGCAGAGAGCTCCTGGCAAGTGGGCTGGAAAATGATGTCTCCAGCAAAAGAGCCACAGTCCTGTGCTGGGAGTGTGAGAGGGGTGGCAAAAATGCCACCAAACCCCTTGCCAGTGATGCTCAGCTCCAGCATCCCTGCTGGGCTTTCACTGTGGGGCTGGATGTTACTGATTAAGCTCAGCAGGCCAATATTTGAGGAAAATAACAGTTAAAGGGGAGGTCTTGGGGGAACTGCATGAACTGTGGCTCAGGGGAGAGGAAATATAAGGCAATCTCCCACAAAGCACCCACTTCAACACTGACCCCCACTCCCCGTGGTGCTCCTGCAGCCTCCTGCCCAGCCCCGCAAGCCCCTGCGGACGGGAAGATGTTTGGCACCAAGTATTTGGTGGAACATGAGGTTCACTTCACCTGCGACCCAGGTTTCCAGCTCCTGGGCTCCAGCACACGGACGTGCCAGGCCAATGGCAGCTGGACTGGACAGGAGCCCCGCTGTGCAGGTACTGCTCCGGGCTGCCCACGACAGGGCTGCCGGGCTGGCAGCTACAGTCATAGGGCTGCTTCGTGCCCCTCTCTGCCCGTGGACATCATTTGCAAGAGTGGGATGGAATTTGTGTTTCTTTAAACATGAAGGGGTCCACCAAACAGGGAGGTAGTGTGGCTGTCCCTGAGTCCCAGCTAGCCAATGTCACAGGGATGCCGTGGCTCCCACGGGCCAGTGATTTGGGGTTTCTTATCCTCAAGGAAAGCTGGAAATTACAGCTGGAGCCTCACCTGGAGCTCAGCAGCACAGATGAGGGGGAAAATGCATCAGTGCTATGACAGCCCCCTGCATCGTAGCAAACCATTGCAGTACCGCAGCATGGGAAACAGCCGGTGTCCGAGTTTGGCAAAATACACAGTTGTGATGTGCTATGGGGTACCAAAGTGGCCCAGTGCATGTGGTGCTCCCATGGCTTGCTTCCCAATAAAATAAAATAAAATAAAATTTTAAAAATGTGGCTATTTTGCAGAGATCAGCGAGTGCTCAAGCAGCCCCTGCCAAAATGGTGGGACGTGCCTGGAGGGGCTGAACCAGTACAAGTGCCTCTGCCCTCAGCAGTGGACTGGATACACCTGCCAGTACCAGGCACAGACGGGTGTGTGACCCCCCGCCACAATGGGTAACAAAGCCATATTTCGGCACCCCACCTCATTTCAAACCCCATCCCATGGCGTGTGTCCCCCCACCTCCCAGCTCCCCCAGCCTGGAGCGTCACGGACGACCCAGCGTTCAGCCGCCAGCCCCGCTGTGCCCAGATCGATCGGACCCAGCACTGCAGCTGCGAGCCCGGTTTCCATATGAGCGGCACGGCTGCCAACGGCCTCTGCCAGGGTGAGCCACGCTGGGGGGGTACATGGGATGGACGATTGTGACAGTGGGGTGGGCTGTAGGGTCTCAGCCATGCACCTGCTCCCCTCTTCTCTCCGCAGACCTCAACGAGTGCGAGGTGTACAAGCGGGAGGGGGGTCCCCGGCTCTGCGCCCACGTCTGCGTCAACCTCCCCGGCTCCTACCGCTGTGCCTGCCCCAGTGGATATGTCCTCCTGGGTGACGGCAAAAGCTGTGAAGGTGAGGGGGGTGGGGGCTGGAAACCCATGGGTTTACCACTTTTTCTCCAATTTGCATGATTGCTTTATTATTTTTTTATTTTCCCTTCTTTTCTCCTTGTTTGCAAGCATTTCTGCATGCAAAAATCTTGATGGGTTTGCATAGAGAGGTGGTTCAGAGGTTGGGGGCGGAGAGGAGGAAAACGATGGAGGTTCAAGCACTGACAAACACATGTGATGCTTTGGGGCTGCATCTCGCTGAAAATGAGCCTAGAATCTTCGCTGGCATGGTGGAGCTGTCCTGTATGAATGGGATGTCCTCAAGAAGGAATACAAATAGCGTTAAAAAGCAAGAATTACACAGCAAGGGGTCAGCCTGGATGCTGGCAGCTTCTTCTCCAAAAACAGGGGAGTTGGGGTGCAGGTTGAGAGCAAAGCAAAGCGGGTGCGAATGGTGGGCGGCCAGAACTGCTCATCTGAAAGTCTCCTCCTGAAAACCAGGGATTTTTCTGTGCTATAAAGTGTTGATTATGGCAGTTCATGGTGAGAAAACTCCCACTTTCTCCTGTTCTCCCCTGATTTCTGCAGGTTTCATAGCATCTTGCTCATACTCCCAGCAAATACCTGCACTCAAAGCTCCTGATTTTATTGCCAGACATCTCAATGGTTACATAGATATTTAGTAAATAGAGATGGTGTTTTCAAACGGCTTAGCAGAAAGTTAGGAAAATAAGCTGCCCTCCTGCTGTTTGAGCCCTGCCATTACCCCTTGCTGGACCAGGGCAGAGTTGGGGGAGGACAGCAGACGCAGAATGGGATTTTAAGTGGTTTAGGTGTTTTCAACCATACTTTCGTATTTTTAAAATCAGTTTCAAGGTGCTTTTGCCTATTTTCCACCAAAAGGAACCCCTCAGTGAGCTCTCTGGTGAGCCTGACCCGCTGCCTGCCCCTGTCTTGCAGACATTGACGAGTGCGCCCTGTCCCAGGATAACTGCACGAGGGGGACCACCTGCATCAACACAGGGGGGGGCTTCCAGTGCGTCAGCCCCCAGTGCCCCCAGCCCACCGGCAACGTCACCTACATCAAAACCTCACCCTTGTAAGTGCGGCAGGGTGCAAAACCGATCCCTGCTTTGAGTTTTTTTGGTGCTGGGTCCCAAAAACACATGCATAGTATCTCCATGAATCCAGTGCCACCGGGGACACGGACCCCACATCTCTGGGGTTCCCTGAACACCTCCCCCCTGCTTTTGTCTTTGCAGCCAGTGTGAGCGCAACCCCTGCCCAATGGAGAGCCGGTCATGCCACCAAGCACCCAAAACCATCTCCTTCCACTACCTTCCCCTGCCTTCCAACCTGCTGACACCCACCCCACTCTTCCGCATGGCCACAGCGGCAGCGCCTGGCCGGCCGGGACCCGACAGCCTGCGTTTTGGCATCGTGGGGGGCAACAACCGTGGCCACTTCGTGATGCAGCGCTCGGACCGGCAGACTGGGGAGCTCATCCTGGTGCAGAGCCTCAAGGGTCCCCAGACCATCCAGGTGGATGTGGACATGTCTGAGTACCTGGATCGCGTCTTCCAGGCCAAGCATGTGTCCAAAATCACTGTCTTTGTCTCCGCCTATGAGTTTTAGGGGAGGCGGCAGCCAGGGTGGCTTCCCTGAATGACGATGGTCCCTGCTCAGCATCCTCCACTGAAAGCGCTAGTACTGGAGGCAGGCATGTAATGGGGGCTCCAGGTGACATCCCACACTGAAGCTTCTCTGCAGCCAACTGTCCTCCCCTCCACGTTAAGGTTATTCTGCATGGGCGACTTTTACACCCACCTAAAATGAGGTGCAAAAGAAATTGGGTACAGGAGTTAACCCGCTTGCTGGGGCACGGGAGCCAAGCATTGTCCTCACCTGAGGCTCCACAAGGACAGTGTCCCGTAGCCTCAGTGCCTACACAGTGCAGAAAACAGTGGATAGAAACCATGGCCCTTACTTACTTTTTAATTATTTTTTTTCTTTAGGAAATAAATTAAGCTGGTGCATGCAGAAGGAGGGAGGCTCATGGTGACTACTGCTCTCCTCCCCGCTGGCCGGGGCTTGCTTGCACTGACCCCAGCCCAGTAAAAACATGACTCCACTCCCCTTTGGATGCCGAGAAAATCCATGGCAGCCCGTGAAGAGCGGGCTGGTCTGGCATCTCAATCCCCCAGGATTGCCTAGGACCAGAAAAATCCCTGAACATCCATTCATACAAGACCTGTCTGGCTCCTGGTGGCCCTCCTTGGCAAGCGGGATGTTGTGGCTGGGAGAAAGAGGAGACCCAGTGCCCTGCAGATGAGTGCTGGTGATAGGCTGGGGCTGTCCTGCCCTTCAGCCCATGGGCAGCAGCTCCTTAAACCTCCAAACTGGGTTGTGTGTGTGTGTGCACCCCTCTCGTCCCACACTGACCTCGGGGAGGCCTTTGGCTGCTCTAGGTACCTGTGTCAAGGGAGCTCAAGGTGTGAATATTTCATTTTTTCAACCAGTCGCAGCCTCCACCCTGCTGTGTGTGAGGAGCTCCAGGAATAGCCGGGGTTCAGCTGTATCATGTGCCGGGGACACACACACCTCCCCGGTCTCGCACCCTTCCCCCTTGGTACCCATTCCTCAGTGAAGTGCTTGTGCATGTTAACCACAATGCATGTTTCTCCATTATGCTGGTTTTAGTACAATTAAACGACGATATAGCCTCTGAGCAGGTGCAGAGTAGAATAAAAGTACCCAACACACATGTGGCTGGGGGGGCAATGGTCACCTGGAGCCATTGCAGGGGGCTCAGGGTCTGTGGGGCAAGAACCTGCCCCCATTAGTTTTATTTTTTCTGCCTTATGTTGCTTGGAAGGGGCTGGCTGGTGGCAGGGCAGCTTATCCCCAAGCATGCTTCCCCTTGAGCATCCTCTGGAGATCTCAAGGAAAAGAAGCCTGCTGATGCCCACCCTCTCCAAAAAAAAAGGCAGCGGGGCAGAGGTCCCTCAGGGGGCTGAGCTGCGCCCACTAAAATCCTTCCTACTCCTTGCCCCAGGGGAAGAGACTTCACAAGACCAATCTGTGCTGCATCTTTTGGGGGATCAAGCTCCCGGATATTTTGGGGGGGG